TTTTTTTTTGCTTTTTTGAGACAGGGTCTCTTACCTCAGGCTGGCCTTGAGCTCACATTTTAGTCCAGGCTGGCCTCAAACACAACAATCCTCCTGCCTCAGCCTTCTAAGTGGTGGGATTACAGGCATGTGTCATTATACCCAGCTAGAATGCCTTTTAAGGATTGTCTGCTACTGCACATTCCTCTCCTCTCTTCTCTGGTGAGCCACTATTAGCAGGCTTTCCCCTCTATCATTCCACTGAAACTGTGCTCATCAAAATCACTCATAACTTCCACATTAGTAGAACCACATTAGCAGTTTCCAGTCTGTAACTCCCCAACTGCATTTGGCCTACTATCCTATGTCCTTTTAGGGACAAATGTTTATTTTACTTTCAGGCTGCCATGGTCTCTCGTTTTCCTTCACACCTCACAGGCCATTGCTTCTTAGTTTTCTTTGCTGTGTCCTCCCTTGTAATCGACTCCTGAATGTCAAGAGTACTCCAGGGATTAGTCCAATGACTGAAGTCTACACAGATTCCCATGGAGCCTGTGGCTTTGTGTCCCTTGGGTATCTAGCATGAGCCTCCCACCCGAGCCCAAACCTGACCTCCTGATCTTCTCCTAATCTGTTCCATTTCCCCATGTCAGCTACTGGCAACTTCCCAGTAGCTTAAGCCAAAAAGAGTCATCCTTGACTCTTCTTTCACTTCTCATAGCCCTTCCATTCAGGAAATATTTATCTCTGCCTTCGAAATGTATCTGAGGGTGGGGATAAAAAAAAAACACACCTTACCACTTCCATGGCCAGCAGTCAGCACCTGGTTTAAGCTGTTCTTGCCTCTTACCAGCATTAGTCTGTCACTGTGAACCAGTCTGACTGCTCACACACTGCTTAATAATATCAGCCATCATGTTCTTTTAACATGTAAACAAACCCCAGAGAATTGAAAATGTTTACGTAAAAGGTTGCCCACAGATTTTTTTTTTTTTTAAAGAAGCTTACTCACAGGTGTGCATAACATTTTTTGGTAATAACCAAAAAAAATAGAAAGAACCCAAATGTTGCATCAACTGATAAATTCATAAACACAATGTGGTATACCCATACAAGGGAGTACTACTTAGCTCTACAAAGGAATCTGCTGCTTCAAAATGGATGAACTTTGAAAAAATTTTGCTAAGTAAAAGAAACTACACTATGTATTGTATGATTTCATTTATATGTAATGTCTAAAGTAGGCAAATATATCTATACAGATGGCAGTTTGCAGGTAACCAAAAGCTGAGCAATAACTTCTAGTAGGTACAGGATTTCACTTTCGAAGGGTTAAAAATCTTAGGATTTAAGATTGTACACTTAGGGCTGGTGAGATGGCTCAGTGGTCTAAAGCACCTACTTAGAACAGGCTTAGCAAAGCACAAGGACCACGGTTCAATCCCCCAGCACCACATGCCAGCCAGCCCC